CTTTCACTGAGAAATGCAGGTACATCCAGCTGACGAGTCCCAAATAGGACGAAATGCGCATCCTGGATTCCACTGGATAAGGGAGAAAAACTAAATAGTACTAAGGAAAATCTAAGATAGGAAGTGAGGCATATAATAGAAGCTTCACCACTTAATAATTACCTTGATAAATTAATCCGGAAGAATGGGGGAAAATATAAAATAAAATTGATAGTAATAGTAGTTATAATGACAACTATAACATTAATGACGACACGCATGTCAAACATGTACAGGATAATGACAACACCAACAATAGGGAATTGAAATCATCAGCAGTACTTCCTCCCATACAAAGAAGGAACCTCGGAAATCTTATGGTGGAGAATTCGTAGAAAGGCAGGAATAAAAGTGGTTGGCATTCAAACCACCCACAAACTCAATAAGAAACAAGATTTGTCGGTTAAAGAATCAATCCCGTAGAGCCTTTAATGCAAAACAACTTAGTTTATCTAATACCCTGCCTGCAATGACTGTAAGGTCAAATATATAGGTCAGAGTAGTAGAAGGAGGTCAGTCACATTAGCTGATTACAAAACCTTTAAACTGGTGAGCACAACCACGAACTTCATCTTCGATAAATACACAGATAACCCCGGTGAGTTCGTTCCTTTTTGTATTTGTCCTTGTACTATATTTTATTCGACATACTTTTCGTCATGAGTGATCCTAGTCCCAAGGTCATTCGTATTCGCTCAACTCCTAAAACCATTCAGCTCGTACCATACTGGCCAGATAATGCTGATACGTGGTTTCAGATAGCTGAATCAGATTTTTGTGAACATGGGATAACCGATCAACGTTCACAGTTCCTTGCAGTTATTCACGCCCTACCACGGGAATTCAGCAAATGTGTAACTTTGCAGATGTCGAGTCCCGAGGTAAGTTACTCGTACGAGTTGCTTAAAGCATCCCTCCTCAGAGGAAACTTTCTCACGGACCGACAACGTCTGGACGAATTATTTCGTAACATCGAGTTAGGGGATCAGTTAGCCGTGAGCATGCTGACAGGAATGAGAGAGGTTATTGTCCAAAGTCAGTTCGATGAAGGACTGTTTAGAGAACTCTTCTTATCCAAGCTGCCACAGTCCGTGCAGACTGTACTTGTGACAATTCAGGGTGTTATTATAGATGACCAGGCTATTTCTGCAGATAAGATTCCAGAAATAACTAAACAGTCAGTCCCTGGAATATGCTTGGTGGCCAGGCAGACTTCGAGTAAGGATACCGTAGTGATATAGTTATGCAACTCCATCCAGGAGATGTTTAGGTCAAGCATTCCGGTCATTTGGTACTCCGTCGTGTCAATTTCCCGCACGATAACCAGCTAGCTTAGCTTCCGCTTCAATCTGCGATTTGGTTCCGAAATATATCTCGTAATTTGGACAATCAATTGTGGTGTTTTGCTTTGCCTTTGGTACACAAGAAACAAATAAGATAGAATTCGCGAACGTCAATAACTTCAGCCTTTAAAACAAAACAATTAAGTTTATCTAATACCCTGTTTGCAATGATTATCAAGTGAAATATATCGGTCATAGTAGTATAAGGAGGTCAGTCATATTAGCTGATTACAAAACCTAACAAAATCTAGATTGGTTGACCCAAAGAAGATAAGAAATCTAGAGAATAATTCAGCTATAGCACTCACTACATGACATGCAGTTACACACAACCATACAATAGATTAGGATGGGATAAGATGACAGTTTTCAAATCTAATTTAACTGCAGGGTGGAAGAAGCAGGATTGATAACAGAAACTTTATTTATCAAATCACTCGCAAACACGTTCAACAGGAATGATTCAACACTTGTTCATCCAGATATCTGGAAAATTCTACTACTACCCCTACGACAACAAATAGAAGAGAACAAAGAGAACAAAGCTATGTCGTGAATTGGCAGAAGTTAGAATTCAAGGACCATTGGATCGGGTCCTAGTGGCTCAATGGTCTACGAGCTCGCCTTGTAACCAGAAGGCCCTGGGTTCGAACCCCGGTGGGTGCGTACTGATGAAGAGTCCCAAACTAGGATGAAACAGCTGTCCAGTACTCCCAGGTTTTCCAGTGGTTCTCTAACTGATGTCAGCTCATGATTAAATCCTCCATGCAATTAAAACTATAAAACTATAAAAGTTTCGAAGTCGTGTGATTATGCTTGATGATATGCTTTTATGAACAATACTAATGATAAATTGTGTTGGACACTTCATCGTCTAGTAAATAATAATACTGTTTCATTGTGTTTGTGTGACATATTTAATCAGTCAACAAAAATTAATTTGAAATAAAGTTGTTGTTTTTACATTGTTATTACATTTGTTGACATTAATCCATCTATCTAACACCCTTATATATATATATATATATATATATATATATATATATATATATATATATATATATATATATATATATATATATATATATATATATACTCAACTCTTCTCATATGGACTGATTTATATTGACAACAATGAGACTATGACAACTCATCACTTTTGTTATTATCATCTTTCATCCAAAATAATTATGAAATGAATACGATTGTACAGCCAAGAATGGAAGAAAATGAATTCACCGTGAAAAGAGTCTCTTCGCTGTGAATACTATTATTTTATTTTATTTTTGAATACAGCTTGATTCCACACCGTATGTTTTTTGGTACAGATATAGAATTTTCAGCATGGATATCGGTAGCCCAAATTTTGCAGGCCGACCATTGATATCAGGTGTGAGTCGGTAGGAGATCGAACCTTGGACCATGTGCATGGTCGGTGATAGTCCTAACCGCTGTGCCATCACTCACCCCCTAACTGACTTGACTGACTGACTAATTGATAGAAGTGTCAAACTTGGGCACTGTGGTAGAGTATAACTCCATTATGGATAAGATTTTATTTTGATAAAGCGTCACACAGTGTTGATTGTACAGTAATATTAACTGATGACCATATTTCGAGCACAAATTATTACTGCTCATAATCGTATCAAGTTACTCACACAACTTTTTACTTCATTTATATACATGAGTGAAACTGATGATTAGACATTTGAATAAAAATCAATATGGGATAATTTACATTCAGAAATAATGATATGAGGGTTATTGATCAATGACAATAAGATGGAAAATAAGACGGGTGTTTTTATAGTCAAAATAAGTTATTTATTAGAATGTTATAATGTACTTGGATTGAAATCGAATTTTAAGATTATTTATTATACTCCTCTGATCTGACTGAGTGACTGGTGATAATAATATCTTCGATATTTCTGGTATTTGCATTGAATCAAATCAGAGGAGGATAATAAATAATCTCAAAATTCTAATTCAAACCAAGCACATCACAACATTCTAACAAGTCACTTATTGTGACTATAAAAACACTCGTCTAATTTCCCGTCTGACTGTATTTGATCAATAACACTCATATTATTATTTCTGAATGTACATTATCCTATACTGATTTTTATTCCAATATCTAATCGATTCCACACATGTATATAAATGAAGTAAAAAGTTGTGTGAGTGATGCCTTGATATGATTATGAGCAAACGTTTCTGCTCGAAACGTCATCAGTTAATATTATTGTATAATAACACTGTGTGATTTAAAACAATTAGTCCCTTTCATAAATCTGAATAAGGCATTAAGAAGACGTTTTTCACGACATGATATCGTCATTTCGTAGTTTCTTTACAACCGCTTTACAACTGCTAACATGGTTAACAATAACAAAATTAAGTTCATGAAAATTACTCAGTTAAATAAAAAACAAAAGTACATTCTAATGACCAATCATCACATTTAAATAGGTCATGTAGTCCATGGTAGGCGAAGATTGAGGTCTATTGATTTTTGTACACACAGTTTGTGCTGTATGTGAATAATCCCCGAAGTGCTTCCATTACCTTCAATAACCAACCTAGAATTTGAGTTATGTGACGAAATAATTGTGAAACAGTCAATAATATTGATTTTGTGACCAGACATTAATAAGTGTTTTGCGACGGATGATGCTCGATTTCTATTCAAATTAATCGCGTTGGGATTTTCAATATGATTTAGTAGCCATTTTGGAACATGTTCTTTTCGACGATGACATCGGAACATTCTGTCGGTTCTACCTATATAGGTGTAACCGCAACTGCAGGTGAACTTGTGGATACAGTTTGAAGTAGAGTTCACAGAATTTCATCCTTTAATCGTATATACAGGGATCGAAAATGTTCGGCATTTGAGGGTGAAAGAGATGAGGCATAGAATGTGCGTTCGATGGTATACTGGAGTCTTAGAGCTGTCAACTGCATAATCTAGTCACCCTTGAATGGTAGGTTAATAAAAATAGATAGCTTTCCTTGGTACAGAAACTGTCTTTCCGAGATGTGATCTTTCTTTACTGTGACAAGTCACTCGAATATTTGGATGAATATGATTATGTAGGGTAATAAAGTTTTCAATAGATTTACTGTTATTACCATTAATGAGAGTATCATCTATATAACGTTTATATAGCATAAATTCTCCAAGCATACCTTGCCTTTGTTACTCTAATTGCGACATGAATATATCTGCTAACAGGGGCCGCAGAGGGCTCCGCATCGCCACACCATCGATTTGTTTGTATGCCTTTTCTTGGAAGGTGAATCTAATATTTTATGTACACATTAAGATGATGTCTTTGATGTAAGTGACGGGAATAGGTAAGTTTATTCCGTTGCTTGTGATATAATCGCAAATGAAATCAACAGTTTCATAAAGGGGAACATTGGTGAATAAAGATTCTATGTCAGTTGAACACATAACCTTTTCCTTAATGCTCAAGGTGTCTAGCATTTCTGTAAGATCATATGAACTTTTTACTGAATGATTTGGTAATAAGTCTCTTACAGGCGTAAGGACCTCTGTATGATTAACCAAAATATAATCTTATCCAAAATGGAGGGACAAATTACCTACTTTCAACATAAAACTTTTCACAGATGTGCACCACTTCCAGTTGCCAATCTCCCCCTCCATGCAGTACACCAAGCAAGACAAGAGCGTTGAAAGAGATCCGTCAAAAGACAGATAATAAACAGAAGTGTGAGTAAAGGAAACAGAATAGTATGAATATGGAACAACAATAGAGTTTAATTGAATGATATAACAAACCATCGCAAAGAGTGAATGCATCTGCGCTAGCCATTAACAACGATTTAAAGCTAATTATATCATCAGTTATCCCCAGCCTTCATTGGTTCGTACCATCCCAAGGATCCTAATCAGGAAGTATATTTACTGTGAACACTACTTATATTGTTCTTTTCATTCATGCCGTGATTCTATGGTGTGGGGGGTGGGGGAGGGGGGAAGCATTATTCCTAAGCATAATGCGGTTGTTTGAATATACTAAGAACCAATAATTTGGTTTCAGGAGAGGAAACGTAACAAGTTTTATCATGGAATAATGACTACCAGCCATTATGATGATTCTTATTACAATAATAATAATTATTATTATTATTACTACTAACTATAAATAGATACGATTAAAAATTATTGTTTTGTCTTTTATCATTCGATCTGATGTTTTTTTTTAAGAACTTTGCTCACACTTTATTTATAGCTGGGATGTGTAATGCATTTTTTTGAAATTTGATCTGTTTATTTGTTGTTACCTAATTTGGAAATAATCTACGCCATAATGTGAGCAGGTAATCTGACACTTTAAGTAAAGACTTCAGTCGGACTACTATATATATATGTATATATATGGCTTCGTGCGTCGGTGGTACAGCGGTGGAATGCCCACCAAGCACGCCTCATGTGGTCTGGGATTCGATCCCTAGCCACGGACGCACTCCTTCATCTCGCTAGGCTGGTAATAAGACTGGTAGAAAGGGAAGGTTGGGAATGAGGCTGGCTGGCAACCACATCTCGTAACAATAAACACACCTGTTAGCGAAACTTTATGTATACCAACCAACCAACTCTATAAGAAACAAACTTTGTCGGTTTAAGTATCCAATAGATCCAATTATGAAAAATAATATAATTTGTCAAATACCATGTAATGAGCATGCGATCAATTAAATACGTCAAACTAGTAGATCAGGATCAAGTAGATTATTGGAACATAAAAAATTTAGCCAGTTAGACCTAGAATAATTGACCCTGTTAAAGTGAATAACCTAGAAAAAAAGGAGCCCTGCCACTGCACTGCACTGCACTGCATTGCATTCAGTCGGATGTAATCACACAATAAGGGGTGGGATGGAGGGACAGGGTGAGATTATTAAAAAGGGTAATAGTTAGGTAGAAAGAGAGGGATAGATTAATCACTGAAGCTTTGTGTTATCGATTCAACGCCTCACAGGTGCAATCAAAATGACGCAATGACTATACTGAAGATATATAAAGTGGCAACAAACAACAAGGGGTAGAGGGAGAGAGAGAGAGAAAGAGGGAAACTGTGAAACCATGTAACTAAATTGATATGATTATGAGTAGAGATCATTTATGCTCGGAACCAAGTCATCCTGTTGTTAATAGTGCATCATTACTGTGTGATATTTAACATAGACTTATCTAATATGGAATTACACGCTACCACCACAGTGGCCCAGTTCGATACTTACATTGAAACAACATGAATGTTTTTCAAATCATAAAGTCGATATCACGTACAGTTAGCTTACATGTCTCCTACAGGTAGCTAAAGGTGTTGCAATAAGATCGACTTAACTTGAACTTTGTATCGAAAACGAACACGTTCAGTCACTGTTCCTACCGTGGGCAAACTTGAATTAAAGTTTTCTCTTCTCAACAAGAGTGCTTCTTCCCCTAACCCTCTTTGTTTTGTTTTTTTCTATCGTTGCTTATTATTACAATTATTATCATTATTATTGGTCATAATTTATGCCCTTCATGCAAACATTCACTCTATACTATCGAATTTTTCATTTATACCATCCGGACTTATTATTAGTAGTGATATTATCTGTTTTCTCAATATATGTCGCCTCCACCTGTTTCTCCATTTCACATATTGGTCATTTCATGATGAATCTCTTATTACAGTCTTACCATCTCCTCTTTAATAATAATAGTAATAATTTGCTTTATTCTAAAACAGTACTTGTGATACAGAATGGAATTCTCAGCATTTCACTACATACAGTATTGCATCCAGTTAGTACATTATCAATAAATAAAATTCTACATAGATTAAGGGTAATCTCAGTTCATTATGCCAACAACATATTGGCATGTCGGTAGCAAAGCCAAAATTTAAACAGAGTGTTTGAAGGTGTTAGAAAAGTAGATACTAGCATATTTATTGGCGTAAGCAGTAACAAAAGGTCGAGATATACAGAGTGTGAGAGAACGAAGAAGGATGTTTTCAATAGAGTTTGTAAGGAAGAAAGAAACAAAACAGCACATAACAACAAGAAAAAGAGAAAAGGAAAAGAAAGAAAGAAAATGTTGTACCCAAAAATGATATGAGTTGGAAAGATGAGATCCAGTTGTTCTACTGACTATTTAATAATTTATAGGTATCACGCCTAATGCTTTCTTTAACGCACAGAACACAAGCCAACTAAATAGGATATGGTTGAGTTTTTGTACTTGCTAATGCGAGCATATAGTTTTCTATATAGGCTTCTGGTTCTGCCTGATGAGATACAAGGGGAAAGTTGTGAATGAATGAAGAGGGTGGTGTGAGTTAGATAGATAGAATGGATTTAGCCCATTTTTCATATGAGTCCAAGTGCCTGTCAACCAGAATATTAACAAGCAGGTTGAGTGGCATGTTGCTTACCCTGCTGACAACCTTTAACATCCTGCGTAATAAGGTATAGTATTTCTTCAGTAGCCCTGAAATAACTGCGTTGTACTAGCCACTCACCCACCTGACACCTTCTATAACCCTTGAACTGACTTGTCAATTGTTTTCCTACCCCACATTCTACAAATCTATTATGACTAATCACCATCATTATTGTCTCGCATTTCACCGAAATATTTTGTAATTGAATTCAGCCCAAAGCACGTTTGTCATACAAATACTACAATTTATTTTGTCACCCCATAACTAATCTATTATTCTACATCAAAAAGATATATCCGTTGCATAGCTGGCCATTATTGTAATGATAACAAAAATTATGTTACATAATTGTTAGAACCTGAAGAGGAGAATTAATTGCAAAGAATATTTTCCGTTCAGATTGACTTTTAAAACCGTCAATATTGCTAATAACAATTACTCTTCAAATATCACTACTATTTAGACGTGTCAGTGTAGTGCAACCACTTAGCAATGCCTTCTTCGATGACTTTAACTGCTTCACCGTCAACCCACTGTACTCTACTGGTCACGGCTTCCTACTAGAGAACCAGCCCAGGTTGACTGCCTGAACAGAGCCAGTTGATTGTGAGTATCAGATCAATTTTCAAGTATTGATTTTGTAGCGATTTTGTTCGACTGGTTGTAAGATTTCATCATGAACTGATATCGGTTAGAGAACTCTTTTGGAAAGCCAGCCAGGAATCGCAGACTACGCTGACGAAACATCTGTCCTGTAGCTGATTTTTCAAATAGTTCTCTAACTTGAGAAAGAATTTATCCAAAAAATACGAGCTCAAAGTTACCAATAACAGCATAAACAATAAACAAAGAAAAACAAGCAAGGACTTACATTATAAATATTTAATTTATTTCTCCTTGAATTGTGTTTATTTCCGTGTGAAATTATAGCGGTTAATTAAAAATAGAATAATTATTGTAAAGTCTTCTCTCTGTATGTATTTATTTGTTTATTTTTTGGTGTTGTTGTTGGTGGTGTTGTTTAAATGTAATATTGAATGAATCAATCAATTGTAGCGCGTAATTTTTAAATCACCACAATAGACGGAGAGACAGCGACACACAGATAGATAGATAGCGAGAGAGAGAGAGAGAAAATGATTCAAATTAACAAATGTGCAATTCAATATTCAATATTTATTCATATTTATAACTTAAATTATTACTATCATACACACACATAAGGTAGATAAAGATTAATTCTAGCAAAATATTAACAATATTTATAGATGTATCTATATAAAAATGAATGTATACCACATATATACATCTATGTTTATGGTTGGATAGATAGATAGATAGATGAATGGTTGGATAAAGCATATATAACTCTCATTCTCTCTCTCCCTCCTCTACCTCTTACTCGTCTTTCTCCCTATCTAACTAACTAACTACACTGAATAATAAAATCACTTATCACACTACAATAACGTCGACTACTACTTCTACTATTAACGCTAACTACCTTCTCATGATTGGTTGATTAAAGTACATATTGAATAGAATTTACTGAACAGAAGAAATTAACCAATTAAAATCATTTTACAATGTCATATTAATATTACTACTACTATTATTACTATTAGTAGTATAATATCACTATGATACATACATAAAAAAGAGATATGAAGTATATTTTGCATAGCATGCAATGCATGTGTATGCGTGAACACGTGCCTTGGCAATAGTATTAATACTAATAATAATAATGACAATTGAAACAGTTAAGTCCCTTCGATAGAAATTTAAATAAGGCATTCTAAGAAAGGTAAATATTACTGTGAAATAATCCTATTAAAAGAACACACACAATATTCAGCGAAGAGACTCTATCCAACAACGAATTTATTATCAAGTTGTACAATCTTACATTATATGGTTTTTAAGAAATTATATATGGCGTGAGAATGCAATCATTTATGGCTATGAAACCTGGTCATTGAGAGTGGAAGACATGAAAAGATTAGCTGCCTTCGTTCATAGGTGCCTACATTCTATCTCCCGTGTGAAATTGTATAATATGGTGAGCAATATTGAGGTTAGGCATCGGTCGAGTGCTAGGTAAGTTGAGGAGGGGAAATCAATCAACGAGGCTGTGAAATTACATAGACTGAGAGAGATGGTTAGGACATGTGTTACGCATGCACGTCTAGTCATCGCCTTCCTCGACTGACAGGCAATGTTAGCTGACATAGGGTCAGGTTGGAAAAGAGCTAGTTAGTGGTAGTCAAACCAAAACATGGCACCAGTCAATGAAATCTACATCGCTCCCCTCCTCCAAAACCTTTAAAAATTATAATTGTCCAAATTATTTTATTTTTTATTTATTTTAACCACTTCATCTTTAGTTTACGTGTTATCCTTGCAAAATTAATTTATTCTAACCATTTCTACCTTCTAATTGTGTGTATTGATTTTCTTCGTTAACTATTAACCCATTTACATGTTGACACTGTTTAATTATTGTTAACAAACTTATCGCCACTTGATTGGTA